CGGTCCCGGGCCGACGCGGGAGAAGCGAACGCGCGGGGCAGACAGACGCCGGGGCGGTCTCCGCAGTCCGGAGCGCGTGCACTCCGCCCAGAGCTGTGAAATCCTCAGCCCGTCTCCGAGAAAGGGAAGCGGCGAGGCAGTGCCTGGATCCGAGAGAAACGCTCCTCTTTTTGTGTCTCAAGTCGCCTGCATCCTGTCATTTAGCTCCGGTTTCCTCTCTCTTTTCCCACACTTGTTCCTCTTCCAGGAGCCACTGCCCGGGCCATGTCTCAAAAGGGGGGGGGGGTGAGGAGGAGGAGGGAAACACACCAACGCCAATTTCCAGAAAGAAAAAAAAAAAACCCGGCTTGTTTCTGGACCGGTTGGAGCCGAGGAGCTGGCGCCCAGGGGAGGTCCGGGGTGTCTGCGCGAAGGAGAGGGGCGAGCAATGAAAAGATGAGCGGGAGACGGAGGAGTTTCACCAACTGCACCCCCGCCTCCCCCGCCGCCTCCGCCCCCTCCCCTCCCGGAGCCCTTCCCTCGCTTCCTCCCGCCCCTCTCCCCGCACAGGCTCGCCGGCAATTGCCTGACAGGAGACGAGGGGGAACAAGTTTCCCTCCGTGTGCGTGCCGCGGCCGTCTGTCCGCCTCTCCCGCAGGCCCTGCAGGGATCTCCCCGGGAAGGGAGGCGCCCGGGGCTGCACCCACGGCGGGTGGGCGGGCGAGTGTAGGGAGGGGGCGTCGAGGTCGGTGGCCGCGCCAGGGTCAGGCTAGCCTCCCTCGGGCCCCCGGGGGAGAGTGGGGCAGCTATCCCGGGATCTCGGGGATCGGCTGCCGGGGCGTGCGGCGCGCCCGGGAGGTGGCAACCGCTTCTCCCAACTCTGAGCCCCCTGGGAGGCGCCTGCGGCGGCCGGCCCGCGACCTGGGGAGGAGCCGCGGGGCGCCCCGGAATCCTGCGTGCCAGGCCTGGAGGGGCCAGGGATAGCTCGGCTAGGGTGGGGGACACACCCCGGAGCCGAGCGAGGGTCGGCAGTGTCGCTGCCACGTAGAGCGGAGTCAGAAGACTCTCGCGGGTGAGGCTGGGCTGCAGCCCCACCCGGCCTCTCTGCCCGGTATCGGGGCGCGCGGCTGGACTCCAAGCGTGCCTGGGTGCCCGCCCCGCGCCACGGGCTCCATTGTTACCAGAGGTCTGGTGCCCTCTCCTCGGGGCAGAGGGGACGCCTGAGGGTGGGAGGTGATGCGCCTTCCAGCTAGGGGGCAGTCGTCACCCGACCCCGCCCAGCCTCCTGACTCGGAGCCCAGGTGCTTGGGGTTTGGAGATTAGGGGTCCAGCGGCCCAGGTTCCCGCGCATCCCGGGGGAGGGAGAACGGGGGCGGGGGGCGAGGTGCTGCTCTTGGCAGGGCTCTCGGGGGCCTTCTCCGGCCACAGGCCATTGTCAAGCCGGCCCTCCAGCTCCTGCTCACCCCCGCCTCCCACGGCGGCGCGTCCTCACTGTGGGCTGGATGCCCCCCAGCTCCAACCCCGAGGGCTTTCCGGGAACGGCTGCAGAAGGCCTCCGCGGGTTTGAATAGCAAGGACATTTCAGGGAACAAACAGGTTTTGGCCGCCGCTCAGGCCCTTGAGAGGGTAAGTGCCCGCGCACCCGCCTCGGAAGGAGTTCGTGGGGAAGGTGAAAAGGTCAGACGCCTCCTGGGACCGGCGTTTATGTGCACACCCGAAAGCAGGGCCCTGTTCCTACCTGGCGCAAAGAGCTGGCAAAAGAGATTTAGGAATGTTGGCGAGGAGACTCTGGTCAAGGGTTTTGGCGGAGGGACGAGGGGCGGGGCGGGAGAGAGACGGCCCCGGGCGCGCGGGCCCCAAGCGAGGGCTCCGTGCTCGCGGGTCGCGGCCGGGCGCGGTGACGAGCGCCCCTGGGGGTGCAGGCGGGCCGGTGCCGCACGGAGCTGCACCCCATGGCTCGCCCGCCCGCGCCCAGGCGTCCCAGGCCCCCGAGCTGGAGACCCGCCACCCCCCGGGGGGGGCCGCTGGCCGCCCCCCAGCCCTGTTCCCGAGCGCCTCTTCGCGCTCGCGGATTTCCTCCTCCTTGGCTCTCCGACCCTGGACGCGGGGCAGGAAGGTGGCACTCGGAGGCTCGGGGTCGGACGCCTGCGGGGAGCGGAAGGGGCGGTGGCGCGGCGAGACCGGGCGCCATGCGCGCCCCGCGCGGACCCCGGGGAGCCAGCGCCGCGGAGGGAAGCCCAGGCCCTTGGCTCCCACGGGCGCGCGACGCCTCCTCCAGCCTTCCCCTCCGTCCCCGGCGCGCCCCCGCCAGTCCCGGCCCCCGGCTGCGCGGGGAGGGCGAGCGGCAGCGTCAGACTTGGGGTGACCCCGGGCGACCTCAGCCCAAGGTTCGGGGGGAGAAGCGCCTTTCCGAACCTGGCAGGTTGACAGAGGCGGCGAAGCGGGAGGCACAGCGCGGGGCGGCCTGGAGTCGCGGATGCCCGCCTCCTCCCTGGTGGGAACCGCGCGGCCGCGCTCGCTCCGGGGACCGGCTTTGACCCTTCTGTGCCTTCGCGGGGTGAGCGAGGGGGCACACGCCGAGACTTGAGCCGTGTTGTTTTTAGAAAACTGCCGCCAGTCTCTCTTCCCCTTTCCCTGCTGAGTGTGCACTTCCCAGCCTGGACCCAGCAGGCCAACAAATAAAGCTGGCACTCCGAGAGGGGCTGCCCCGCCCCCGAGCCTTGACCCCCCCCCCCGCTCCCTCCCGCCTTTCCTCTTCTTGGGGACCTGCTCCTCCCAAGGGTCGAGGCGCACGAAACGCTTGTCTCCTTTCTCGCTCAGCTGCTGAGCACGACTGCCCGTCTTTCTCCAGTCAACTAACAAGACAAGCAGTGTGTGCTCTGGGGAAAATACCAATTTAAGTTATGCCTCTGATTTTTCTGGTCTCAGCTGATTGGAGGCTTCTGTTGACTCCGGAGTTTCCACACACAGACTGGAACCGCACTGATTGATAATTGCGGACTGGTGGTTTGGTACAGAGCAAATTGTCCTTGCTAACCACCACCCTCCTCTGCTGTTGAATGCCACTAAGTGCTGAAAAGGGTCAGTTTTAGATTTCCGCAATTCCTCTCCAAGGGAGACAGGAAGACCCTTATAGGAGGGTAAGTGACAGAGGAAGAATTGCGCAGGATCCCTAGGTTGATAGTATTTTGGTCTTGTGAACACATCACTCTCCCCGACATCACAAATCCCGAGACGAGGTAGGACCCCATCCCCATGGAAGGGAAGATTCGTGGACCACACTCCTGGAATGCCAGGCAGAGGCCCTGGACGGGCGATGCCCCACCGAGGACTACCATGAAGGGCTTGGGGTAGTGGTAACGCTCTCCACTCCGCCTCCGGAGCCCTGCTGGGACCGAGGCCTGCCTTTAGCAATAGACTGGGTGGTAAACGTTTGGTTTCTTCCATCAAGCTCTCATCAATTTGTCAGAAATAAGGTGAGATCCATTGCTCTCAGAAGGCCATCTGAGCCACTGACTTCCTCCAAGGATTTCAGGTTGATGTGTATGGAGATTCAGGCTGGAATTTCAGAACTGTATTAAGTCTAGTCAGGTTTTTTAAAGCATCAAATCCATGTATTTCAGAAAAGCAACACCACAGCACAGTTTCAGTAGGAGCTAGCCCAAACACGGAATGGAAGAATGGCAACAGAAAAGCTTAAGAATTGGATTTTAAATTAATCTCCTTTCATTTAAAAAATTTCTGTTATAAAGGGACTATCATTCAAGAGGTGTCTTTTGGACCTCACATAAAGCTGTCTACCTCATTTGGAAAGGAAAGAAGAAAAGAAACTTTTACTTTCTGACCCTTCATTTTGGGCCTTTAAAAAATTACCTTGAAAATTCTTCAAATATTGGAGAAAAAATTACCATCAAAGTTTCAAAACAAAGTTACAGTGTCAAGTTTCTGTAATGCAGTATATGGAACAAGACACAGGAAGACAGTGCTAAATTTTGAATCATGTCAGTAGAGTCAAAACATCTGTTGGTGTTAGTCACCAGAGCTAGCATTTGAAAACTACAGTTTGTCTGAAAGAATAATTTTAGATTATCCTGCCTTCATTGAACTACTTTTTAAAAAAATTGTTCTTATTTTTTTATTGAAGTATGTCATTTTACAATGTTGTGTCAATTTCTGGTGTACAGCATAAGGTTTCCGTCATACATGTACATACGTATATTCACTTTCACATTCTTTTTCATTATAGGTTGCTACAAGATATTGAATATGGTTCCCTGTGCTGTACAGTGGAAACTTGTTTATCTATTTTATATATAGTAGTCAGTATCTGCAAACCTCAAACTCCCAGTTTGTCCCTTCCCACCCCTTTCCCCCCGGTAACCATAAGTTTGTTTTCTACGTCTGAGAGTCTGTTTCCGTTTTGTAAATAAGTTCATTTGTGTCTTTTTTTCAGATTCCTCATATAAGTGATATCATATGGTATTTTCTTTCTTTTTCTGGCTTACCCCATATTTATTTTTTAAAACAACAACATATCAGCATCCTATGTGCTGTTGTCCATAAGTTAAACCTCCAAACAGAATGTTTTGAGTGCACTCTGACTCACGAATTAATTGCCAGTTTAATTTAATGTTTTTAACTGAAGTACAGTTGATTTACAATGTTGTGTTAGTTTCTGGGGTACAGCATAGTGATTCTTTTATACATTAATATGTATATTCCTTTTCATATTCTTTTTCATTAAAGGCATTGAATATAGTTTTCTGTGCTGTACGGTAGGACCTTGTTGTTCATCTATTTTATATGCAGCAGTTAGTATCTGCAAGTTTTGAACTCCCAATTTATCCCTTCCCACCCCCTTCCCCCGGTAACCGTAAGTTTGTTTCCTATGTCTGTGAGTCTGTTTCCGTTTTGTAAACAAGTTCATTTGTATCTTTTTTTTTTAGATCCCACATATAAGTGATATCATACGGTATTTTTATTTCTCTTTCTGGCTGACTTAGAATGACATTCTCCAGGTCCATCCATGTTGCAGCAAATAGAATTACTTTATTCTTTTTTATGGCTGAGTAGTTCATTGAATTACTTTTTAATTATAAAAATTAAAATAATAATAACCAAGAGAAACACTCATCAAACCAATAAAAACATCATTAGAGAGCACATACTCAGCATTTCAAAAGGACTATTTTTAAGCGGGACAATCTTAAAAATCTGATTTGAGCGATCAAGTAAGGAAAGCTTAGCTCTGAAAATGTAATCATAGAGAACTGAAATTCTGAAGAATTTTTAAAAATCAGTAAAAAAAATAATTTAAAAGCTATCAGCCAAAGACCACACAAAAACACCACAGTTAAGGGCTGTTGTTATAGTGCAGTGGTAGGGTACTTGCCTCACATGCATAGGGTCTTGGGTTCAATCCCCAGGACCTCCACTAAAGAAAACAAATAAACCTAAGTACCTGCCCCTCAAAACAAACCAAAACCAAAAAAAAAATTTTTAAAAGCCCCGCAAATAAATTGGAGGGAGATTAGAGGGTGTCCATTCTAAAACCTGAACAAGTATTAGAAAAGAAAAGAAACACGATGGTTTCTCAGAATTGTCAAATTTATCCTGACAGAACTTTTACTTTGTATTCTTGTTAGATGCCTGTGGCTGTACCAGGAGAGTGGATCAGGAGCAGAGCAAGGGGCGGAGTGGAGAGACCATGGAGGAAGTAACGTGGGTGAAATCTAAAGACGACCGCGAACAAGGGTCATGCGGTGGAGACTGAAAAGGACGCATTCTTGGTGGGTTTAGAAGGTTTGACCAACAGGACAGATGTTGAGCTGGGTATTCCAGGGAAGGAGAGGGTGTTGTCAAGGATGACTCCTAAGAGTCTAGCTTCCAGGGGGAGGGCATAGCGGAGTGGTAGAGCACATGCCTAACACGCAGGGGGTCCTGGGCTCAATCCCCAGGACCTCCATTAAATAAATAATTAAATAAATAAACCTAATCACCCCTCCCCCCAAAAATAAATAAATAAAAAATATAAAATTAAAAAAAAAAGACTCTAGCTTCTGTAACTGGAGAGCCTTGGCATAGACACAGAACACGAGACTAGTGTGAAAGGAAGATCATGAGCTTGATTTGGTCCGGGTTCAGTGCTTAGTCTCAGAAAATCAGATGGGTCAGGGATGTGGGGGAGTCATTTGGGTTGGACATAGATCTTTGTGAGTCACTGTCATGGAGATGAATGATGGAAGTGAGACGAACGGATGGAAGCAACTGCTGAGGGAGTTGGGAAAGGAGGCCCAAACAGAACACCACAGAGCACTGAAAGGCTGGAATGTCAGGGTGAGCCAACAAACGATTTGGGGAATGAGCAGCTGGAGAGGCAGGAGGAGAATCAGTAGAACGTCGTGTCCTAAAAGTCAAGGAGAAGGGGGTTCCTCAGCAGAGTTGGGGGGACTAGGAGAAGGGGGTTCCTCGATGCAGCTGAATTCTGTTGAGAGTTCTAGTCGGTTGAGGACTGAAAGACGGTTGGCTGTTGTTGTTGAGGGCTGACTTCAACAAGAGTCAGATTGGAGGAGTGAGGGGTAGACAGGACTAGAGGCCATTGGAGGTGGCTAGGGAGTGAGAGGAAGGTCAGGAAATAGTGACAGTGAGTAGAGGTAATTCTTTCCCGAAGTTTCTGCTGAAGGGAAAGAGACAGACAGACAGTTCTGGAAGGAAACAGAGTGGAGGGAGGTTAAGTTTTCCCTTATTCGTTTGCTTTTAAGATGGGGTAGTCTTGAACATGTTTCCACCCCCCCCCAATTTTTTAACTGAAAAAACAAAGACTCACCATCTTACACCAAAATCAAGATCAGCGTTGCACACGTGTTTCGCAGCTGTTTATGTGATTTTGGGGGCTTGCTTTAAATTGTTATGTAACTTCCTGCCTTGATAGTTCAGACAAACGTATTGAGTAGACTATTTGTCAGTAGGCATCTTTCTTCAATTTATTATGTTAAACCATGAGACTGTTAAAATGTTTTGCCTCCTCTGTAGAAGGTGATCCATTAATCCATGTTGATTTTCAGCTACAAAATTCAGCACCTAGATGGACTTGCCCTAATGCCACACAAAGCTTGAATGAGGTGAGGAAATCATGCAGAACAAGGCAGGTCCTCCTGGAAGTTTCATATTTTAAAAGTTTTCATCTTATCAGTGCAGCAGGTTACCTTTTGCAGACACATTTTCTTCCTGCTCGAATGCTGTAAACACCCCAGCAGGGACACTAAATAGTAGTGTTGGCAGGAAGGAAAAATATTTGTTAAGAGACACTCCTGTATTTTCTCTTCTTCTTCTTTTTATTTAGTGTAAGCTTTAGTTGTAGAAACTGGCAATAATAGAACTGTCAAAGTTTAGACAGCAAAATTGTATGGTGATGGGGATACGAAAATATATGTATAGGTTTTACTTTCGAAATGTCGGGCAATGAAAGCAAGTGCACTTCAGACTTTTCTAATTATTATTTGCATTCAAGGAGTTCAGAGCGGACCTGGGGATGACCAGCCTCTGAAGGCACTTCCTTTCTCTCCCAGGCCACGGGTCAAAGAGCCAGGAGACGTTGTGGGTTCAAATTTAGCAAGCTTCTGCAGCAATTCTGTGATGGAATGAAATCCGGGAAATGGATGTTTTGAATTTAGGTTCATATCCTATGGAAGTTGGAAGTAAAGTTTTGTCAGAAAATAAAATTAACTTACACAATTGGTTTGTTCTTTTGAAAAGTCACAGTATAAACAAGGTCCTATTGTAGAGCACAGGGAACTATATTCAATATCTTGTGATAACCTGTAATGAAAATGAGTATGAAAAAGAATATGCATATACATATGACTGAATCACCATTCTGTACACCAGAAACTAACGCAACATTGTAAATCAACTATGCTTCAATTAAAAAAGAAAGAAAATTGACAGTAATAGTCCAATCGCTTGTGTTTTATGAGGTCAAATGGTTTCTTAAATTCATACTGTGCTGTTGTCTCTAGTCTGGTATACAAGGCACATTTCTCCACTGGAATTTTTTTTAAAAACCCTTTCTAATTTTACAGACTGGGGGATTATATTGAGGCATAGACTGTATGTTGTCAAACACACTCAGATTTCACTTGGAGTCTCAGATTGACTGAGACATACTCAAATTTAATGTTGTTACCAAAGCAAACGCCCATCTTGGTGATTTTTAAGGTTCTGTCGACCTCAGTTTGAAAATGTCTGCCTTGGGTTTTTAAGTAGTTCTCTCTCTTTGACCAACTCTACTGTTGTGAAGTTGTTGTTCATCTTGATCATGTCAAGTGAACATCTTTTC